GGTAAATTATGTACCTAGGTGGAAAGAAATTTGTCATGAGGGGCTAAAGGGTAAATGTTGGATTTAAGTTGAAGAAGATTTTGTGAGGAGGGGCTGATTTTAGAAATATGACACAAGTTGAAATGAGACACGGGTTTAACCCCATATCCCATTTTCCCTCTCATTTGGAGTATCGGAACCCTAAGCTATCATCCAGCCGCCATGTATGAGGTTCCACAGCCGCCACCTCCCTTTTCTTTTCCGTCCGTGCTCTGGTCAGTCAAGCCCGCTGCCGCCGCTCCTCGCCATCACACGCCTACTGCCGGAGACGTCAAGGGGTAAACGAAGAACCGCCGAGGGCCGTAGGAACTCGTGATACTCGCCATGTGTAGGTCGTAAGCCACAAAAACGCTCGGTAAGTCGCCCCATAACCCACCTTATTCCCTATCTCTCGTTGTCTTCAGTGGAATCAACGTCGGAGACGTCGTCACCGTCTTCGGTGGTCGTGGGGCCACTATTTCATCTATCCGGCGAAGACTGCCGCCTAGCCGGTGGCGGTGTGGGCGTAGGTTCGAGTTTTTGCTTTGCTGTCAGTGTTTGTGTTGTTGTATGATCCATTTCTGGCCGGAAATCCAAGGAAAGCCCACCGCCACCACCTCATGGTGGTGGTTGCCACTGTTTCTGTCACCCTTTGCCGCCACCAGCCACCGTAGGAGGTGGCTGTGTATATTAATATATATATATATATATATATATATATATTATATATATATATATATATATATATATTATATATAATATATATATATATATATATATATATATTATGTGTAAAGTTATTTATGCAATCTTTGGGCAGGAACCACTACCACCATTGGAAATGGTGGCTACCGCCGCCTTCTACCGCCCTCAACCGCTGCTGTTGCCGCCTCTCCGGGGTTCTGTCGCCGTCAAGCGCCACCAGGTGGTGGTTGTGTTGCTATTACGAGCATGGTAGTGAGTGTGTGTTATTTCAGTGTTGTACGTTTGAGTTTGTTTAGCCGGAAAATGAGAACAGCCACCACCACCACCGTGAGGTGGTGGCTGCCGCCGAGCACCGCCGCCGGCCACCACGGTGTGGCTGTGTGTATGAGTGTGTTAGTTAGTGTGTGTGTGGATTATGTTTGGATGAATCATTGTAATTGTAATTAGTTTGGTTAATAATAGTAACCACCACCGTAAGGTGGTGGCAGCCGCCGTGAGCCGCCATTGACCACCGCTACCCGAGGCGGTAGTGGGTGGTGCCCCACAAGCAAACCCTAATGGACCTAGCAAGACCCTAATGGGCTTAAAGATTAATTTTGGGCCTATTGGGCCATGTTTGAGAGGAAACCCTAATTAGGGTTTAGAAAACCCTAATTGTGAGTAATTGGGTCTTAGACTTATTGGACCCATCTTTGGGCCATTGGGATTGGATTATGTATTAAGCCCAAATCAGTCCATATCACTTATCTAGTAGAGTAAAGGACTTAATGGATTAAGTCCTTAATGGGTTAAGTAAGAAACACTTAACCCTTGTTATCATTTTATGTGAAACCCTAATTTCACTTGGGCTTTGTGTTGGGCCATCCAAGAACAAGCAAATGGACTAGAACAATTTAATGGGCTTTAGGGTAAGGCCCATAGGAGGGTGTGAGCCCAATTTGGAAAATTGGGCCATAGATGGGCCATAGTTGGGACCTAGATGGTTGTATGATATTGGGCCCCTAGAATGAAACATGTTGGACTGGACTGATCAATTGGGCCTTAAGGGAAGTCCATGTAGAGCTTGGGCCCAATTTGGAAAATTGGGCCATATGTTGGGCTTTTAACCCTAGTTGACTTTGGGCCTATGGATTGGGCCTTGGGCTTGGGTAAGCCAAGCTTGGGGTAATGTAGTAATTATCCAAAGTATGCATTTATAGTTATGTGTTAGAACCCAATTAGTAATTGGGTGTTATTTTGGTGTTGACAGTTCAGGAATCTGTCATCCAGCAGCTGGGGTTGAGTCTGCGGGACTTCAACAGTGTGGGATTGTGTCTACGGGACTTCAACAGTGTGAGGTGAGTTTTCCTTCCAGTAGGAACGGGTCTACGGCCACAATGTCAGCCCGTTTAGTTAGCAGTAGTTCCGGACTTCGGTCTGATGCAGTAGTTCAGTGTGCTTGATGTCTTTGTGATTCAAGCATGTCTTTGTGTTATGTGGTCCGGACATCGGTCTGATGCAGTATGCAATATATGTGTTTATGCTAGTAGTTATGATTATGCTATGCTGTGTTCAGCCAGTTCCGGACTTCGGTCCGATGTAGAGGGCAAGGCCCTGGTTAGTTCCGGACTTCGGTCCGATGCAGTTTCCAGACTTCGGTCTGATGCAGAGGGCAAGGCCCTGGTTAGTTCCGGACTTCGTTCCGATGCAGTTTTCGGACTTTGGTCCGATGCAGAGGGCAAGGCCCTGGTTAGTTCCGGACTTCGGTCCGATGCAGTTTCCGGACTTCGGTCCGATGCAGTGGGCAAGGCCCTAGTCAGTTCCGGACTTCGGTCCGATGCAGTGGGCAAGGCCCAGTATGTGCTTTATATGTTATTGTATGGTATGTGGTAGTTTGGGGGAGCTCACTAAGCTTCGTGCTTACGGTTTTCAGTTTTGGTTTCAGGTACTCAGTTTTCAAAAGAGGAGCTCGGGAAGATTGCAGTGCACACACCATTTGTTCAGCCTGGGATGTTTATACTCTGATATATTTGACAGTCGTTATGATATTTTGAGATACATTGTTTATTATTCTTATATGACGTTTGATGAATATGGTTTTATTACTGATTTAAAACGAAATTTTCAGACTGTATTTTTGGGATGTTACATGATGGGGTTTATACAACAATTGTGGTGTATAAAGAAGTATTTCACGATTAATAATGTATAATCAGTCATGTGTTATTACACATTTTCATATTTTGTGTAATCTTATATAATTCTATTATTTTTGTTTCAACAGCTTAACCATTTCATATTTTGTGCTGTCTTGACCGGTTTCTTTTTATTGGTTATTTGATGTATCATGTAACAAATAACACCATAGTTTGATTATATTGTCTTCGACATGTACTTTCTTTTGGAACATAACATTTTTGTAAAGGAAACATATCACTGAAAGAACTTACGTGCCCCGCCGCTTTGCGCGGGTACACTGCTAGTATATATATATATATATATATATATATATATATATATAATATATATATATATATATATATATATATATATATATATATATATATAAGCGAAATGTAAAAAAATGAAAAATGAAAAAAAAAAAGGAGTTTTGTTCTGCTTACCACCATCAGATACGCGCAGGTTACATAAGATTGATCACCAAAAAAGGGCAATTGAATTGTTTCTCTGCAGAAAAAAAAACATAATAGTCGAATCAAAATACATTTTACCAAAAAAAACAATACAAACGTAATCAATACCCTAGAAACAGGTTTATCTGTTAGACTGACATATCGATTGATTTTAATCCAAAAAATAATTGATTAATATTAAAATATACTAACGTGTCACCAAAAGTAGAAGAAAGATCAATCAATACCTTCATGTCACCCATAACAAAACCTATCAAACGCATGTTGTAGTGAAGGAGAGTCTTGACCTCTTCGATGGTCATACCCAGATGCAAACCTTTGTATAAAACAAATCAAAATAACACAACTAGCTTGATTCTTCCCCGGTTAAAAAAATACCCAAATCAAAAAAGAGCATTGATAGACGTGGTGTTGAAAAAAGAACATTGAACATACATAGACATTCAACTCGAAATGATAATAACAAAGAGAAAGAAAATACATGTGTGTTTTATGGGATGTAGTCATTCATACCTACAAGAACAAAACAAAATCAATCAACTTCAGAATGGTAGATTGGCGAAAAAAATAATCACTTATCGTTGCAGTATTATATTTATCCACAGATCTACTGAACAAAACATCCAATGACCAATATTAGATGAACATCATAGATTTCTCTACTTATTGTACAAACCAACTCTTGATATACCATAAATTTGAACATGGGGGTGGTGAAAGGAGGGCCACCATACTACAAAAGAAGTCAGATCGTAACACAAATGGGGTGAAAATATGCACATAACTACATTAGTTGTGATGTTATAAACAGTTTTCACAGACAACTGAATACGAAACCCAAAATATGCAGAACTAATTGTTACTCTTATTATATGAAATGAAAGAGGAATTTGATAGCACCTCGGTGTCGATAATTTCAATCTGTTTACCATGATTAACTATCCAACCATAAGTATATGGTTCAACAGTGTTATCTATTCATCGAACTTGAACATAATGTCAACTTGTGCTATACATTCATGATAATATGATGGCGTCAACGTCATAGAAATTGATTGGGATAGACGAAGAAATGATTACCATTCGTGAATCTAAGAAATCGGCGATGATTGTTGTTAGAATTCAAAATGAGGGGAAAATCTGACATGATCGGAAAACATTGGACTCCTAAAGCGAAAAGCATAAAAGAGGCAAAATCAAATATCATATAAACCGGATACATGTACTACTTGTAGACATCATAGGAATTAAAGGAGTTTGGAATGGTGACCTGCAGCAACAACGGAAGAGGGCTTCAATTTACAGTACAGACACGCAGCTGATGTGAGTGCTTCTTTGCTTCTCTTATCGTTGGTGCTTCTCTGCTATCGTCATCCTCTAATCTCGTTTAATCAGACGTGAATGCCAAGTTTTGTGATGCAATCGATGACGAGCGGTTTCCAGCAAAATCGAGAACTACGGCCGCAATGAGAATATTTGTGGGAAGTGATGGATGTCTGGGTAAGAGAAAACGTCTTCAGCATACAAGAATGTTTGTACTGAAAATGACGACGATGGAAGAAGATCCTTCGACCTAAGGTGTCGCATGTGGAGAAATATAGATTGGAAGCGGACGGCTAGAATTTGAGGGTTTGTGGAAACGCCATGTATTCGAAGATTTATGGTGTCCTGAAGGAAATATATGGTAAAGTGGAAAACAAAGGAGGTGGGAAGGAGGCGAGACCAAGGCGGAGGATTCGATCATTGTGGAAGGAAGGAGGAGGAAGACGAAAACTGCAGGAGTTGGTTCAAAGGAGATTAATCGGTGTTACCAGATACATGAAAGACGTGTGGTTTGAAGTGAGCAACACAAACGCATCAGCTAAATAGAATCCACTCCTTAAAACCAGCCAACCAATGGAAAGGCGGTTTGGCTCGGCTCAAAACCGAAACTGTTCGTCTTCTCGCTCTCTCACCAAACCCTAAATTGACTCTACATCCCTCTCTCTCGCCAATAGATCCATCACTCTTTGAAATTGTACATACTCTTTACTTCTTTCACCGTAAAAAAACTCCTAGATGTCTTGCTCCTTCCACCTTTAATCAACCACTCTAAGCTCTGCCTTCAACCAACCACATACTCACACTTACCACCACGAATGACTTAAGATATACACGCACCTCCATCACCACCACACTCTCTCTCCGCTATTTCTTCGAAGTTTAAGGTAAATACAGAAGAGATAAACCTCAAATTCGTTCCTCTTTATCTCCTCTCTCTTTGGATCGATCGATTCATGTTAGTGTTCTAATTTTATTATTTATTCTTTCATTTGTTGGTTATATATGGTTTTGTAGAGAATCATTGTTTTTGTCAAGAGATATGAAGATGACCAAGCAAAACTCAAGTTTATGATGTTTTTATGAGAATATATTAATTTACGACAGCGGTGAATGTGTTGGTAACCCATAACTCAGACCTTTATAATTTGTATCTTTTTTTTATAATTTGTAAAACTCTTAGCACCTTGTCACATCAACATTTTAAGTGTCACTTTATTTTTCTCCTTTTAACAACTAAACTTAGACGATGCGGTATGGGCCAAAATGAGAAGCAACCGGGTGAGGTGGCACGCCTTAACGGCGTCGTGACGGGGGGAACACCGCCCCCCTACTCGTTTTTGCTCGTCGAGATTGAAGCTCGTTGGCGTCGCGACTGGATGAAACGCACAAAATTTAAACGTTTTCAAACGTTTAAATGGCAACGGTATAAAAAAAATTAACTATTAAAAAAAATCATTTACCCTATAAATACCTACCATTTTATAAAAAATTTCACACAATTTCTCTTCTCCTCTCTACATACTTTCAATTATCTTCAAAAAAAAATATGGACCCTTTCGACTCGTCCGATGATTCAGATGACGATATTTTCTTCAGGATGATGTATCATTATTACACTACCGACCTGCTATAACCAGACCCAGCCCCGCTACTAACAAGACGTGCGATGTTAAACAGAAATTGCGAGGAAGGACACGAACATCTATATCGTGATTACTCTGCGGATAATTGTGTGTACGGGTCGAAGGACTTCAAAAGAAGATTTCGTTTGAGTAGGAATGTGTTCCTACGGATCGTCAATGCCTTGGAAAGCCGGTATCGCTTCTTTACTATACTTTTATACAAAATAAATAAAAATCTAGTACATGTTTCTTTAATTTTACAACATATGCAATATATTTTTAAACTGTAGTTAATTTATGTTTAGGTATGAATTTTTTCAATTAAGATATGATGCTAGAGGTAGACGAGGGTTTACAACGTTGCAGAAATGTGTTGCGGCCAGACACGTTCAGTTTCAACCAGGAACAGCAGAGTATTTGCATCGAGTTGTTGACATTCGGGACGCAAATAAACACATACAACTTCGAGAGGACTTGACGGATTATATCTTCTATGGTAACAATAACGATAACGAATAGCGTTGTATTTTTTTTTTTTTGAATTTGGATGTTATGTGTAGGTTAATTTCTATGTTAATTTTAATCTTTAAAAATTGTTTTTGTTGTATGTTATTTATAATTTTTAAACATTATGTTTTATTTATTATGTTATATTTAAAAAATATTTGTCTAAATTAAAAAAAATCAAAAAATAAATTATAAAATGGAAAAAAGTTGGTGTTATAACAAGATGCAACATGGTGACCATTTCCACACTTGGTGTTATAACACCATTGGTGATGTGGCATGTGAGGTGGCACCAAAATGGTATTATGACTAGTTGTTCACACCTTATGCTCTTAGGGGGTGTTTGGGATTGCTTTTTAGGCTAAAAAGTCCTTTTAAACAAAAGGGCTTTTTAACTTGTAGCTTTTTCCAAAAGATGGTTTTAAAATGTGTTTGGATTAACTTTTGAGGGATGAAAGACCAAAAAGCCAAAAGTCACCAAAAGTCACAAATCCTAGCTTTTAAAATCTTTTTTTTTTCTTTTTGCCAAAAAGTCATTTTAAAAGGACTTTTAGATTTACCAAATACTTTTTCAAATTTTTAGCTTTTTGAAAAAGTCAGCCCAAAAAGTCACTTTGAAAAGGAATCTCAAACACCCTCTTAACATTTGGTAAGAAGTGGTAACACTCCTAACACTCCATTTTTTTTATTTTCTTTTTTCTAATTTAATTTAATTACTATATTTTAATAAACAAACATTTTTTATTTAATATTATATAAAATATTAGTTGAATGGCAGTTATATATATATATATATATATATATATATATATATATATATATATATATTATTAAAAACGTTATTTTTTTGTAATTAAATCATAAGTTGTTGAGATATTAATTTGGATGGATAAATTGTTGTTGAGATATTAATGCATAAATTAATTTGGATGGGGTCAAGAATTAAATACGCAAGAATTAAATACGTTGAAGTTTAAATATGCAATCCTAAACAATTCATTTCAGCCAATCAAAACCTCTAAGTGCTCTCTCTTTCTTCTCGCTTTGTCCTTGGCGAGTTTTATTTGGCGAGCCCCCAGCGAGAGTTAGGGGTGGTGTTCTACATTTTTGGCGAGCGAAACGAGTGGCTTGGCGAGTGCCACTCCGCTTAGTCTAAGTTTCATATAAGTCTATTTTTTCTTTTTCGTAAGGGGTTTTTTCATTTTAGTGAAGTCTAAGTTCAACATATTGTACTTTGCTATTATGGATGCTTATATAGGCCTTTAATGGCTATTTTTTCAGGTGGTTCATCTGGGTATCTTGGCTTTGAAGGAGTTATGTATTGCCGGTCACACTTTGGTCAACTCTTCAAGAAGACTGCTACTTTGAGAAAAGCTTTGAAGGTATGTATGTTGCTAAGCATTTGGATTTGAAATTCCATCAAGTTAGGTGTGAAAATATTTCTGAAACTCTCATTAAATTAATTTCAAGAGTCAAACGGTATTCTGATGAGTGTCCAGCCCTGATGTTGTTGCATTCTTTGTAAAATTTACTTTAGTATAGCATTTTACTTTAAATTTTTATCTTACTTTAGCATTGTACTTTGAAAAATGTAACCCATTTTGCATGATGCTGAGAGCATTTTTAACGGTTCTTGCAAAACAATGCCAGTTTTAACCCTATAACATAATATGCAAGGTGGTAATTACCATTCTACTTTCAACTTTCAATCTGAGTTAGCATCCTTTTTGTCATAGTTTGTCATTTTATGGTTTTTAAAATTGGTTTTCTTTATTTGGCCATATTTCTTTTTTCATTTATGAAGGTATTGTGCTCCTGAGATTCATGGACATAGAAAAGGTCATGTTTATGAAAATCATGTACCTGGTTACTGTTAGATAACTGTTTTTAGCATATAGGGGTATTTTTGTCATAAAAATAATGGATTAAAATGAGGTCATATATAATTGTTGCTCAAGACCATAAAAAAGAGGATACGAGTCTAAAACATTTGTTGTAGTGACTAGGAAATTTTGGCCAAGACTAACATACAAGATCATGTTATGTCAATCGGCCAACAGTCCGTGTTTATTTCAAGATAAAAGAGGTGAAAGGAATCTCATTCCTGCATCAGGTTTGATTTTCTTTATTCTAAATGTCTAAACTTCCATCAATTTCAAAATAGAGATCATTTGTAGTAAATGTCGATTTTATAGTTTTGTAGTAAAAAAAAGGTTGAAACATACAAGGTTATTTGATTGTGCACCTAAAAATGAAGACTGTGATTTAACCCGTAAGTATCTTCTCAAGTTGTTTCCTTTTGATTTCTAATTTATTTTTGATTTTTCTTTTCTCAAATTAGAAATCAGTGGTTATATTTGGCATGATTTTTTAATATGGTTTATAATTCTTTTTCGAAAGATCATAAGCATTAATCTTTCTTGGATGAATGCGCGTAAAGCTTTTGCCCTTTAATTTGGGTTTTTTAGATTATTATATTTTTCCTTTGGCTTTTAAGTTAAAAACCATAGATCATAGTAATTTTATTCTATAATTCGTCATGAATATATATATATATATATATATATATATATATATATATATATATATATATATATATATATGTGTATGTGTGTGTAATTGATTACATGGGTAATGGGTTAAACGTTTACTTTTATGAAAACTTATGTAGGAAATTGAAGAGAAGGGGTGGGTGAAGACAAGAGAGTTTAACTGATAAAAGCTTAAAGATATATTCTTGAGTTTTCTTTGAAATTAATGAATTTTGATGAGAGTTCATTCATATTAGTTATTAAAAAACTAATGGCATGAATGATGAGGTTTTGATGTTGTTTGATTATGTAATCAATTTCTTACCAATCATCATGTTCACTTTATTGCTTAATTCTAATAGTGTGTTTGATTAATTTTTTATCAATGGTGTTGATGTGGATGAGTAATGGAATTAATATAGCAGATTGAATAATTTTTCTTAGGATGAGTAATGGACATGGTCGACTTTACATGACGTTGGTGGATGAGTAATGGAATTGGCGAAACGGAACCGGAACCAGACAATGGTCATCTAATTAATTTCAGAAAGTAAATATTTTGTTTTGTATGTTCGGATCATAATATTAATAATTAACGAGATACTTATTAAAAGCATGAAGCGTACCAATGAAAGATTTAGACAAAAAAAAATCGTATTTGTTGCTTGTCACGGCTAACAAGCTAGTCGGTTCATAATTAATGTTGTGCGTTTATTCGAATACAATGCCAAATATATGGGAATTGAAGTACAGTCCTAATTCCTAAACATATGGATCATTGACCCCCTACCAATCTCATCATCACCCATGTGTTACTTCTCTATGCTTTTTTTTTTTACAACGGTACTTGTATACGTATATATATAAACAAAACCCGTCTCTAGTGTTTCTTTTCCTTCATTTTGTGATCTAGCCGGAACAGTAGTACCACCATGTCTACCTCCGGTGGTAGCAAAAGAAACTTTGACATCAAAGAAGAAGATCACAACAATGACATCCCCCAAAGCCCACTCCCTAGCTTGAAACGACATGATTCCTTAGATATTGAGTCCTCTAGATTTGCCAACCACCATGACCATCACAACACCGAGGTCAGTATCTTCGATTTTTGTATACTTATTGTGACGGTTTGGATTCAATGACTAAAATGTTTGGAATGAAACTGGCTTAAGGGTAATTGGAGAGCAATAGTCAAACTAGCGTTTCAGAGCATTGGGGTGGTTTATGGTGACATCGGGACATCACCGTTGTACGTGTATGCAAGCACTTTCATCAACGGGATCAAGCATGAAGATGACATTTTGGGTGTTTTGTCAATCATCTTTTACACCATCACGTTAATTCCTGTTATTAAGTACGTTATGATCGTGTACGTGCCAATGATAATGGCGATGGTATGCATTCTTTCCCCATGTACGTGTTTTGAAGAAAATTGTTGGAGTAATTATTAAATATGTGAAGTGTTGTAATTAGTTTTGTAATATATAGGGGGTACTTTTGCATTGTATTCGAAACTGTGTCGATATGCAAAGGTGGGTTTGATCCCAAGTGAGCAAGTGGAGGATCAGGAGGTGTCAAATTTCCGACTTGAATTGCCCAACAAAACAAACAAAATAGCGTCAAAGATAAAGAAAAGTCTCGAGAGTAGAAACTTTGCCAAGTTTTTGCTTCTATTTGCCGCCATGCTTGGAACCTCTATGGTTATTGGCGACGGCATCCTCACTCCGTCCATCTCAGGTGACCAATTTTACATGATGTATGCATCTTGTTCTGTTTTTTAAATTGTCTACACTTTAATATCATGCACAGATGGAAATCGGGCGATTTTAATCGTTTTTAACATATATTTGTAATTTTGCTATACAGTTTTATCGGCCGTGTCAGGGCTTAAGAAAGCAACAAGTACCATAACAGAAGGTAACTTCAACTTTTCATTCTTTCTGGCTAATTACATAAAATGTTAACCAAATTCGATTTCTTTTAATATTAAAGGTAAGCAGATTAAAAACAAAAATTTCATAGCTAACAAATTAACTAAGTGCATATGTTTAATTTAAAGATTTATTCTTAATAAAACATAATTCTTCTAACTTTTGTGAAATATATTGATGAAGGAAGGATCGTTGTGATATCTGTGGTAATCTTGATGACGTTATTCATGGTTCAAAGGTTTGGAACTGACAAAGTTGGATACACCTTCGCCCCCATTATTTGTGTATGGTTCTCCCTCATTGTTGGAGTCGGTGTCTACAATTTTTTCAAGTTCGACCCTTCTGTCGCTAAATCCATAAACCCTAAATACATCATTGATTACTTCAAACGAAACAAAAAGGACGCCTGGATTTCACTTGGTGGCATCGTCCTCTCCATTACAGGTACTTCAATTCTCGATCAAATTAACTGGTTTCAAATTAATTTGTACAAGTTTCTCACAATTATCTGTTCGTTTGTATTAGGAACCGAGGCGATGTTTGCTGATGTTGGACACTTTACAGTCAAATCGATACAAATAAGCATGGGTTGTGTGGTTTATCCGGCCTTGATCACAGCATATAGTGGTCAGGCGTCGTGGCTAAGAAAACACAAAGATGAAGTGGTGGACACGTTCTATAACTCGGTTCCCGATGGGTTGTACTGGCCGGTGTTTGTAGCAGCTGTTATGGCGGCAATTATAGCAAGTCAGGCGATGATATCGGGGACATTTTCCATCATTAAACAGTCGCTTTCGCTAGGGTGCTTTCCTCGAGTTCAAATTGTTCATACTTCGACAAAGTATGAAGGACAAGTTTTCATACCGGAAATGAACTATCTTCTTATGATCGGTTGTGTTCTTGTTACCGTTACATTCAAAACTACAGAAAAGATCGGACATGCTTATGGCAAGTATTCCATACTATACGTTCCAGTTAGATATAATGCATGGTTTATAAGTTACATATAAAGCTTTCACAATCATAACTTTCAGGAATCGCGGTGATATTTGCCGAGACGCTTACATCATCATTCATGGTTGTGATCATGCTCGTCATATGGAAAACGAACATACTTCTAGTGATCTTATATGTTCTTGTGATTAGCACCACGGAATATATCTACTTAAGCTCGGTTCTCTACAAGTTCAGCCAAGGTGGATACTTGCCATTCTTGTTTGCAATCGCGCTAGTGTTCATAATGTGCACATGGAACTACGTTTACCGTGCGAAATACAACTACGAGATTAATCACAAAGTCTCACAGGAAGTCATAAAAGACATGATTATGGACATAAACATTAGTCGTATGCGAGGACTCGCAATCTTCTACTCTGAGCTCGCCCATGGCATTCCCCCAATCTTTAAACACTATGTTGACAATGTACCTGCTTTACATTCGGTTATTGTGTTTGTTTCAATCAAGTCGTTGCCAATAAGTAAGGTTCCTACAGAAGAAAGGTTCTTGTTTCGTAGAGTGAAGCCAAACGAGTTGTATGTGTTTAGGTGTGTAGTGAGGTATGGGTACACGGATGTGCGCAATGAGAATGAGTCATTTGAGAAGATTTTGATCGAACGCTTAAAGGATTCTATTGAATCTGATTATGGAGTACTTGAAGAACAAGGTCGTACTGTAGAAGAGGACATTGCGACACTAGAGAAAGCATCGCGAGCTGGAATCGTGCATTTAGTGGGCGAGCACGAGATTGTTTCGAGGAAAGGGTCTTCCATTGGGAAGAGAATCTTAATAGATTATGCTTACAATTTCATGAAGAAGAATTTGCGGCAAAGTTACAATGTGTTTGAAATTCCTCAGAAACGGATGTTGAAGGTCGGAATGACGTACGAGCTTTAATGAAGATGAACAAGTGATAGTGTAGCTCAATTTTTATAGCCAATGATTGCATTACAGTAGCTTAAATGTAGTAAGATTGTGATGATCTAAATAAAGTGTCTTACTTAGTTGTCTTAATGTGCATGTAAAGAGGTGTTTTTCAAATGGTTAATGTCATAAATAGAATGGACTATTTCTTTTATTCTTTTATAAAACATCATTGTTTAAAAGGTAAGGTATGGGGTTTTGTGTTTAAAAATTATTATTATTACTAACATCGGTGAGTGAATAACTGTTCTTCCATTTACAATTGTTTGATCCTGCAAACTTTTAATCGCAACCATTTAAATTACCTATTTACCGTTTTTGAGCGGTTCTCCTTCTTTGCTTCCGATCGATAACTCCCCTCACCTCCCATGTTCCTCCGCTTCTCTTTAACTCCTCCAACAACTGCATATGACATTGCTCCTCCCCCAATGTCTCCGTCTCAACTTCCTAGCACCCACTTTCCCAAACGGAGACGGTTCATCCTGCTGCCATCCCTCTTTTCTTTCACCACGTTCATGTGAACAATTTCCCATCCACACGATCCTATATCTCCTACTTTCTTGGAGGTAGGGTAAGCTTTTGGTGCTCTTGAATGATAGACTATGGTTGAATCAAATGAAATCCCATCTCCCTCTATTTACGATTTTCTTCCAATTTGGCATTGCACGATTTAAGATTAGATTTTTATTCTTGGTTTAATCTATATTGGTTTCTCAAAACTGCATCTATTGTGACTTTTAGTTTTATGAATTTGATTGTTGGTTTTCATTTTGCAGATAAATAAGATGAACTTCGATGTTGGTGAAGAGATGAAGGTAAAATTCCCAATCAGCGTGTTAAAAACTTATGTTTGTTCATTTTTATTTTCCTATTTCTTTACTCATACATGTTTCTTACTCTATGCCTCTATAATTGCTTACAAATTACATAAACTTTATCAATTATATTATCGATTTGGATTCAAGAGAAGGGGAAAGGATAGAACAAACCCTAGAAGAACATATCAATTCAAAACTGGCTCTAATTATCTTCATTATTGTCTTGGTTTTTCAGTTATCGGACAAGAGTATCCTTTCATTTGTTCCTGTGATCAACGATGGACTAGAAATTGACCAAAAAATATATGTCGACAAAGAACACCCACCCAGGTAATTTATTTTATCTTCCTTTGATGTTTGTGTCTTATTTCCTTTCCACTTTTTCGCCTCAATCTCTTTTGTTACAAATTGGGGTTTTGAATATTTTCTAATAATATAACTGAATCGCACTCATTGGTTCCATTAATTAACATAATTTGTCTAAAACACAAAGGATTTTGGAGGTTTTTGTATGTGGTGTTACTAGGTTAACCGATGTCTTTTGTAAATTCTAATGCACTAATTCAGTTGATCTTTATCTGGAATCTAGGTTAATTAAGCTCTTATTTCCCTCCATAAGTTTCATGTTTCTACTAAAATCATTGATAGGTTTTATCTTAATCTTTTTCTAGTGTTAATGCGCCCTATACAAAAGTGGAGGCAATGAAGTCTGGGTCATCACTAAGGGATTCAAAGGAGGAGGAACAGGGTATGCTAAAAAAGAATATTAAGAAGTTCGACAAATTAATGAAATAGTTGCAAGCACATGTTGTAGTCGTAGAGAAGCTAATGGAAGGAAAATAGAAGGTACCATATGATATATGAATCTTTTTATAATAGTCAAACCATTTGTCAGATTTTAACAGAAATGCTACTAACATTATATATTTGATATGACTAGAATTGTTTGCATATGGTTCATCATTATGCTGCAAGTATCATTTTGAGCATATATTGAGATATCAGATTATCAATTTGGCTAGCATCTCTTCTACCATACATATCTGAGCTTTAAAATATGTGACATCCCGAAATTTACGGTCATTTTAAAACTTTTATTTATGCTTATTTAAAAACATAGTCTATTTATAAATATGGTATTTGGTCCCATAAAAGTATTTCCGAAGAAATGTTTTTAATTAATTTATAAAATCTTGGGATATCATAACTGATATAAGAAACATAAGCATAAATGTAGGCCTTACATCATTTATAGCTTATATTTCCTCAAATCTCTCATCAGGTCCGGACATCAGTATCTTTGTATTGCTTTCTGTGGTACAAAGAACCTGAGTGGGTTAGGTTGGGAAACCTGATGAGCACATAGGGTTTTCAACCCATAATAATATAGTTAATATATTTAATTATCAAACAATTAAACCAATTTCTCATCCCCATTATCTTCTTTATTCTTAAGGATCTATCCTAAGGATGATCTATGCTGACAGTACTAGTTCAGCGATTCCTCCATGATACTTATTAGTAGGTTTTCTTCTATATTAATTTCCTAAGGATTTATCCTAGGGATAATCTTCTTTATTGATAGTATTATTTTAGGAATCCTCCCATTATACATGTCAATAGGTTTTAGAGTACACCTGGTGAACACATAGTTCAAAAACACCTACAAGTTGCGAGCATGTTAGCGTTCCACTAGACTGTCTAGAATAGTCTGTGGTTATCATCTATACTCACTAAGTTCAAACAAGCACATACGACAATTACTCCTAGACTCTATAGGAGCGTCGTCCTAATGAAATGTTCTACTCCTTCGATCTGACTTAACTTTAACTATCTTCCAATGTCTTTGTACAAATTCTTTCTTATGTAGTGCCCTGTCTGCAAGGTACACTATAGCAGAATTTTTCCTAGTAGTATACGGTAAATGTTTTCGATCTTATTCTATTCAGAGTAGCCAAATCCATGTCTTCAAAGGATCTGGCAATTCGGATGGCTATTGTTAGAGTTTTTGCTGATCTCACCATTAGACAAAATCCGTTGGTAGTTCATTAGCAAATATTTATACCTTGGAGGATTCAGTAGGAACCAGGTGAGAAACTAACTTCATTTTCTGAGTAAGGGCTTCAGCGTACTCGTCGACACTCAAGTCTCCTTTCTTCAGCACCTGAATTCCTTGCTTATTTTTTCTAGGTCCTTTTCTGAGTAGTACTCTCTTTTAATTTGTACAAGGAAGTCTTCCCAAGAAATCTTCCATGCTTCCACCTTCGGCATAGTGATGGCCACTCGTTTCCACCAGATTAAAACATCATTTTATAGTTGTTTGGATGCGAAGATTGTCTTCTGTCTTTTGTTACAGTCACAACAATCAAATGCCATCTCCATTTCGTGGATCCAATCCATAACAACAGCTGGCGTTGGTTTTCCGTAAAGGCTTGGTGGTTGGGATGCCATGAAGTCTCCATACTTGCATCCATCACTATTAACCTCTTCTTTGGTATTGTCCTTCCTACTACATTAAGGTTTAGCATGTCTAACGTCTCTACTACAGTTTCCTTCTTCTGGCTGCTCCTTATTCAACTCAGATTGCACAACTGGTGTAGTGAGTTCATCCTTATTCTTTCGAAGTAGCTGTCTTGTCTCCTCTATTTGTTGGTTTAGCATGGTTCGCATCATTGCCTCAACTTCTGCCTTTGTGATAGGTTTGGATGTAGGTGTATGACCCATCACATGTTTAGGCTCATTTTGTTGACTTCTGTTGATATTCTCCAGTCCGCTACGAGTCTTCAACATGAAGTTCTGTACACCAAAGCGGGCGTTCAATGTACCAAGACAAGAATATAGATAGAGAAGGTTTAGATGCATAATCTTTCTTATTACTTCGAAAAGCTATATGCCACTTCTAATACAGTAATTAAACGTTTAGAAGACTGAACACATAAAATTTCTTTATCCTAAGTTATAGTCGGCAATAGACCTTTAATCTAGTCGAGTCATAACAATTTAAGCAATCCTAATGCATGCTATAATAAAAACCATTTAGCACATAAAAGCAAATTAGGCATCTTATCCTAAAGTGTTCTTGTTCTAGTGTTAATTCAGGTGTATTATAATAGACACACATCTCACAATCATCGCTTAGCATTCTAAATTTAAGTCTATAAATTTCCTAAAATTCCTATTTCGCTTAAACTAATGATCTGATACCAACTGTGACATCCCCAAATTTACGGTCATTTTAAAACTTTTATTTATGTTTATTTAAAAACAAAGCCTATTTACAAATGCAGAATTTGGTCCCGTAAAAGTTTTTCCGAAGAAATGTTTTTCATTAATTTATAAAATCTTGGGATGTCATAATTGATACAAGAAACATAAGCATAAACGTAGGCCTTACATCATTTATAACCTATATTTCCTCAAATCTCTCATCAGGTCCGGACATCAATATTTTTGTACTGCTTCCTGTGATACAAAGAAACTAAGTGGGTCAGGTTGGGAAACCTGATGAGTACATAGGGTTTTCAACCCACAATAATATAGTTAATATGTTTAATTATCAAACAATTAACCCAATTTTCCAACCCCATTATCTTCTTTATTCTTAAGGATCTATCCTAAGGATCATCTATCCTGACAGTTCTAGTTCAGGGATTCATCCATGATACTTGTCAGTAGGTTTTCTTCTATATTTATTCCTAAGGATTTATCCTAGGGATCATCTTCTTTATTGAACCGTATTATTTTAGGGAATCCTCCCATAGTTATGTAGATAAATCAGTTTTCTTCTATATTTATTCCCAATTGTTAATTGGATGTTATTTTGGTATTGATAGCTCGGGGATTCATCGGATAGCAGCCAGAGATTCAGTTGTGTGATTCAGCAATCGGGGTGAGTTTCCTCACTGGGTTTAGTGGGTCTAAGGCACCAATGTTGGCCCTTGTTGCGTATGTTAGGATGCTAGGAGTCTATGTGACCCTTGTATGCGAAATGTGCTACTATGTATATCGGGCCGGGCTCGATGCCGGGCGAGGCCTGATGTTTGTATCGTATGCTATTGTTTTATGATCATTGTATGTGTTAGTACGATTATGTGATATATGTAACATCCCAAAATTCAAGACCAAAAATTTCATTTTTATTAAGTTATTATAAAACCAACAGTATAAGAAAACATCCATAATAACATCTCATGTCAAAACCAAAGTGTCAGTAATCAAAACATGTTATCATAAGTAATATCAGAGTGTAATCCCAAAGATCTCATGTGCGGAAAACATAGTGTGATGCGCTGCGATCGAGCCGGCTCCTTTCCTTTGAAAATGAAGTACCTGATACGAAATCTGAAAACCGTAAGCACGAAGCTTAGTGAGTTCCCCTATCATACCACATACCATATAAACACATAATGCCTAACATATTTGGGTGCTCGCCTCCCCTTCGGTATCTTTCAACCGGTAACTGCCTAGCATATCTGGGTGCTGGCCTCCCCTTCGGTATCTTTCAACCGGTAACTGCCTAGCATATCTGGGTGTTGGCCTCCCCTTCGGTATCTTTCAACCGGTAACCGGGGACTATTTCACCCCTACCACTACCACATAATAACATAACACATATATCATAAACTGTCTAACGTAACTGGGTACTAACTACCCCTTCGGTCCTTTCGACCGGTACTGGGGTCTAACCTACCCCCTCCTATCACATAACATATAACATCATAGCATACTATCACATAATCATAACAGATAGCAACATACCAGATAATTATCACAAAGACAATCATCTAACAAACAACTCCTACTAGTGGGCCGACATTGTGGCCTTAGACCCACTTCTACCGGAAGGTAACTCACCTCACACTGCTGAAGTCCTGTAGACACAATCCCAACTGCTGGATGACAGCTTCCCGAACTATCAATATCAAAACATCACCCAATTAATAATTAGGTTCCACTACATAACCATAAGTACATTCTTTGGATAATTACTGTTGGATTAGGTGTCTAAGCCCATAACTATAATTGGTATGTACTTGAATTGATAGCAGCACAGTCCTTTTGGGTTGCCCTCAACCTAGCAACTGGACAAGGAAATTATGAAAGGAGAGATATTAATTTATAAGATTAATAAATTAATATATATATATATATATATATATATATATATATATATATAAATGATTTATTAATATGTTAATGGATTAATATATTAATTAGAAATCATTATGTTTAATTAATTGTTAGCCAGAAATTAATCAGAATTGATTTTGGGGTTAAAAGAATTAATTATAAGGTGTAGGGACTAGTTTGCAATTATCTAATAGTTGAGTGGAAGGCTCTAGAACCCCCTTGGAAGAGGGTGGACGAAATCTTTAGGGGAAACCCTAATAATTTCGTCCATAGGGGCTTGGATAAGGCCCTTGGGTTTGCTTAGGCCCTAAGCAAAGGATAACTAGGGTTTCCCTTAAACCCTAAATCCCTCAGCTATTTAAGGAGCCTCCTGGCTCACATTTTGGGTACTGAATTCTTTGGAAGAAACCCTAGTGGCCGAAATTGCATACTCCCTCCCCTCTCTCTTCTACTTTCCTTCTTGCTAGTTCTTGGGTGTGACTCCATTAGAGGCATTACACTTGTGGTGCTAAGCTTCCAAGAAGATCAAGATCAAGATCAAGGGAATATCAATTGTTTGCTATAACAATTGAAAGGTATGTAAACCCTAAACCCTAGTTTACTATTTTCGAAATAGCCTCTCTCCTCTAGGGTTCTTGTATTGCAATTCAAAGTTGTATGTTCAA